GGGTGTGTGTTCACGGTGTGTGTGTGCACTTTGGATGGGATAAATGCAGAGCACTAATTCCAAGTATGGGTCACCATACTTGGCCACATGTCACGTCACTTTCACTTTCATTTACATTCAGGTGAGAGTTTTAACGTGCAAAACAGCACAACAATCCGTCCTTCTGTACCTAAACAGACAACATCAGTTTAAATATTTTGCTTGCCTACATTTACTCGCACAAAATAGAAAACACAACTTTCAGACGGTTTTCACGTACCGTGCAGCTCTTGTAGAGGGATATGGCGGGGAAATACATGCCCTCGAACAGATCCTCATAGGCCACACCTTGATTCACTCCGTTCTTAAAAAATATAATCTGACAAAAAAAATCACACATCAGTGATGACATCACAATCAAATAGCCAAATACGACTTGAACGCTTGAATATAATGCAGTGAAACACTCACTCGGCTGGAACTGGTGGGTTTTAAACTCTTCTCGGCCTTGTCCACGTAATCTTTCTCTTCAAAGTACAAGTAGCTTTTGAATTTGATCAGCGCCTTTGAGAAAAATTAACAACTGATCACAAATCTCACGGTTACGGTTTTTGAGCCACGGATCAGATCGTTTTTCAGATCAGCAAGAAAAGAAAAAACTATTTCAATGGAACTTTGCTTCCCATTTATAACTTAAAGCCAAGTACTTCTTCGATACCACAGCAAAAACTACTAACCTAACTATGAATGTTCAAACATGATTAAAGAGACAAGTAAAAATAAGAACAAATACACCAATTACAAGCATAGACAAATAAAACAGAACAAAGTTACTAATAAAATAAGGTCGTAGTATTCAAGTACAGAAATTTAATAATTAGGGTAAAATAACACTGCACAGTGGTCACTGTATAAATTAAATATATATATTTGTCAAAGTGTTTTGTTGTTTGATGAGCATTTAACGACAGCAGCAGTTAGTTATTTATAGGCTGCTGTCACTTTAAGAGCTGATGCACGGATCCAATATAATGATACACATCCAATTTCTTTCTCAGCTGTTTTCATTCACTTTTCATTCTTTTACCAGAATGATTGTTGAGATCGGTATGTTGTCATAATTTTGTGTGTATGTGTCTGTTCAGAGGTTTCAGTTCAGTGTTCGCGAGCAGTGAAACGCGCTTCTTGGCATGCGCGTGCTTCATGTGTGCATGTCTGCGCATAGAAAAGAGTGCGCGAGTAACAAATAGAGTTCCCTTTCGCTGGAATGGTTTAAAATTGCTTGCGTGTGTAAACACGTACAAATGATAATCTTTCACTCTATTATGGTTACATTTTGCAATTAATCCGCGGATCACATGCGTGCCAAACCGTGGGGACGGATCAACTACGATCCATTCAACTACTAATTACCATGTAAAATTAGTGATGCACATAATGCACTTTTTACAAAAAAAAACTAAATTTAAGCTTTCATTTAGCAGAAAACAGAAACTGAAAATAAAAATTATTTAGTAGTTTGATTAATAAAATGTATTTAATAACCAACACAAAGTTGTATATGTAAATTCATTCTCTGCAGTGAATGGGTGCCGTCAGAATGAGAGTCTAAACAGCTGATAAAAACATCACAATAATCCACAAGTAATCCACACCACTCCAGTCCATCAAGTAACATCTGGAGAAGACAAAAGCTACGTGTTTGTAAGAAACAAATCCATCATTATATTAACTAAATTAAATCAACATTTGGTGTGAGCATCCTTTGCGGTTAAAGCAGCTTTTGCTCAAGGAGCACTTGAGCAGAGTTTTTCAGGAAGCTTTGCAGGAAGGTTTCTTGAAGCATCTTGGAGACGTTGGCACAGTTCTTCTGGATTGAGTCTGTCTCAGTTTGTTCTGTTTCCCATCGAGTAGCCCTTCTCTCCGGTCACCGTCAAGCGGTCGTCTGAAATCTTTAGCTGCGGAGCTGAAATAGAGATAAAAATACAGTAAGAAATTGAGCAGGAGGTTTATTTACAGTGGTGGCCAAAATGATTAGAACACTAGTATTTTCAGCAGCTAAAAATGGTTT